CTTTTAGAGTACCACTGAATGGAATGAAACCAAACATGGCATGAATGTTCCTTATGAGATGCTGACCAAGTGTTGCTACTTTGTTGCCGATTAACTGTTCAAGATGGCCACTCAGGATATTTGATTAAATAACGGGACCAATATTATACCAAATTTGGCCTCAATCATTATTTGGGTATATGTTATGATTTTTATCTATCTTTACATGATTTCTAAAACCAAAGTAGAGTCAGGTGAGCGACACAGGCTCTTGAGAGCCTCTAGTTTAACCTAGTTATTAAATCCACAAAAAGGCCCCCCCCCCTTAAATCCGCCTTTGGGATTTAATTAATAGGTAAAAAAAGCTGCATCAAAGTCAAAAACATGTCTGCCTAAATTGCTTTAAAATTTTTATGGATTTAGTTAATAGGTTAAAAAAGCTACAATTTTCAGTTTAGGGTAAATTCAGATAGTCACCTTTAAATTATTTATTATCACTTTTTCAAATCAACTTAGATTTTCATATAACTCTACAGCTATCTCATTTATATGTTGATCTTACAGAATGCCGGGTTGTTTGGTAGTTCTGGTGTATTGCTGTCATTTTTATGGATTTAATAAATAGGTTAAAAAAAGCTTAAATGTTCAATTTAGACTAAATTCAGATAGTCATCTTTAAAAATTGGTATAAAGTTTTCAAATCAACTTGGATTTTTATATAGCTCTACAACTATCTCATTAACATATTGATCTTACAGAATACCAGGTTGTTTGGTACTTTGGTTTATTGTTGTCATTTTTATGGATTTAGTTAATAAGTAAAAGAAGGTACAATTTTCAGTTTAGGCTAAATTCAGATAGTCATCTTTAAAAATTGGTGTAACGTTTCCAAATCAACCTTGAATTTCATAAAACTCTACAGCCATCTCATTTATATATTGATCTTACAGAATGCCAGGTTGTTTGGTAGTTTGGTGTACATGTATTGCTGTCAAATTTAGGGATTCAGTGGTGGATCCAGAAATTTTCATGAGAAGGGGCCCACTGACTCTAGGAGGGGGCCCTCTCTAGTCATGCTTCAGGGATTTCCTATGTAAGCAACTAATTTTTTCCCACAAAAAGGGGGGCCTTGGGCCCCTCCCCCTTCCACCCCCCCCTTAAAACCGCCTTTGGGATTTAATTAATAGGTAAAAAAAAGCTGCATCAAAGTCAAAAACATATCTGCCTAAATTGCTTTAAAAAGACAATAATTTCTTTCTTGAAAAGTAGAATAGATAAAGGGACATTGTATATTTGAAATATAAGCATGCTCTATTATTAAGACAATAATTGGTAATTCAGCATATGGTAATATGTTTACTGGTCTAAGAGTTATTGTCCCTTAATTTAAATTATTCCCTTTATTTTAAATTAATATGGTATTTTGAAAATTGTATACAAATTGGAAAGTTAGTTAATATTTTTTTGATTGTTAACAATAGTTTGAGTAAATCTTTATGTCCTATGGTCACAAAAGGGGAAAAAAGTGGTGACCCTCAATTATTTAATAGAACAAAGACGCAAGAAGAGATACATTAAACTGTTTCAATTTTAAGATGACCTCAGATTTCAGAAAAATATAAACTAAGTACATTTAATAGTATGGTTAATATTTCTTCATATGTTTTATGACTTTCATGAATATTGTTAGCACTTCTTAAGCCTCTATGAAAGGCTGGCTGATATAGTATGCTATTACTTATGTCTTGAGATAATTTAATTGTGATATTGTATCTGAGGCTGCACATATAAAATCAAATCCATACATGTATATTCATACTGGTTTAAAAATTAATAAAATGGATGTTTCTGATACACACATAAATATATATATATATGTGGAATTAACTAGCACATTTTGAATTTTGTATTTATACACCATCGTCTATTTTTTTTATTTCCAGACATAAACATGCAAATATTAAAATAGAAAAAGAACCTAAATCAATTTTGATTGTCTAAGTTTTAGAGGAGCAAGGACTTTTTTTATAGTTTTTTTTTAGATGGGCAAGGACTTTTTTGCAGAATTTAAAAGGATGGGCATGAACTTTTTTAATGAAATAATATTAAGAATGCACCGGCCCATCCATCTGGTAAATACTGAATGGTCCCTGAAACAATAGTGTAACATCACAACATAGAAGCACACTATAAAATGTCAATTGAAATGGTTTAACTCAATCAAAAGACATATCAACAAAAACAAGTGAACATACACTGAACAAATAAATTGTATCTATGACACAATGTAAATACAAAATTAATAAAACAAGGGGGTTAGATGTAAAACAATATTAGAAAGACAACGGTAACCTTGGACAAAATGCCGCCAAATAAAATAACGTACACAGGTAAATAAAAATAATTTTGTTGTAAGTTATACATAAGGTTCATTTTACTATCACTGATATTTCAATATGAACTAACTAAGCCCACTCAGCCTTGTTTGCATGGCCAACCGTCCTTAATAGGGTTAGTTTTCATCATACATGCCTTATCAATTTTGCAGAATTCAAAACTATAATTCCAGATTCCAAAAATTCCTTGTTTGCTGGCTTATATAGGCAGTAAAGATTCCAAAATAATCATTTTTGCCTTCCTAAAACTTGATGATGTTGATGGATAATTGCTTAGCGTCCAGTGGCAAATTAAAATGCATATTCAGGAAAAGAACATGTTAATGTAAAATGAATATTTTAATTTACCCTGCTTTGTACTAGACCGACATGCTGAGCTGGATTTTTAACGTGCTAGTTTACAGGGTAACAGTCGGAATATAATAATGCTTAAAATTAATGAAATATAAATGCTTACATATTCAAAATAGTGTAGAACGCCACATGCTGGGTGTTGGCTATGTTTGACAGTAATAATAGTAACAGGAAAGTAAAAGTATCAAAATTTCTTTTTTGAGAATTGTCAGCACCAAATACTGTATTGCACTGAAGGAAATGAACCATAATCTATTTCCATCAAGCAGAAACAGACGTATTCAGTTTTCATTTTTCTCAAACACCTCTCCCTAGTTTTCTGTGTTGCAGATTTTGAGACTTCATATGCATGATTCAGGATAAAAAACTACTTTTGGCAATTTTTTCCCGTATGATTTATAAAGAAACTAATTCCTATCATAGAATTTAACCAAATGCCAGCTTCTAAGTCAAAATTTATTAGTTTTAAAGTAAATTTTCCATTGAAATGTAATGTGTCGCTCGGGGTGTCATATTTTGCATCTCTGAAGGGGAGAGGCATTTATTAAAACAAGGATAGATTTGCCGTTAATTCGGTCCTTATCCGATAGCTTGTAATTCAAGCAGAAAAAAATGAAGGGTCTATGTCCTGATTTTCAAGATGTAAGCCATTTAAATTTGGCAGGAAATGATTCTGTAGATTTTTCATACATTTAACATTGGCACCTTTTTTCTTTTATCAAATGCGTGACATTTTTCAATGCACCCCTCTAGTTTATTAGACACAGGCGTATTAAGGAAATGTAGTCCAGCAGAGTTCTCAAAAAGTGGTGGTCCGAAGGTTTTGCCCACCACCATATTCAAAGGACTGACTATTTTGATGTTTTTCAATAGAACATACATGTACATGTAATCTATAGTGAGGATCAGCAGATTATCTTCAAGGACTCTCTGATGAAAACCAAACGTAATCATGGTAATATGTTGATATTTATATTTTCATGCAGACAACATTGTTTTATTCAAACATTTCTTAGATTTCTGACGTTATTCCCATGATTTTTGTATGTGATCATGTATGTTGAACAAAAAATATTGGACACTGTGTCTCTGAAAAGAAACTATATCTCTGAACTAAAGATATTTGTAAAACAATTTTTATTGTAATGAGCATGGTCTTGACTAGAATAAAAACTACATATAACAGGCTATTATTTGAACTTGGAATTATTTTTAATTATGGAATTTGCATAATTTCTTGTGCTTGAATTTTTTGATAAAATCCTTGTTTATTTGTTATTATAATGTTTTGAGTGGTTCATAACACTTTCCATATAATGTATTTTGTATAGATAGTGTTGTGCGCGGCACAATACATTCTATTGAAAATGTACTATTTTCTTTGTAATAGAAAGTGTTGTGCACAGCACAGAACATTGAAGTACAGAATAAACATGGAATTTATTAAAAATTTCCAGCACAAGAAATTATGCAAATTCCATAATTAAAAATAATTCCAAGTTCAAATAATAGCCTGTTATATACATTATATTGAGTTATCATATGATTTGTGTATTCCTAGTACAATACATAATTTTACGTATGTATTAATCAGTGTAGTTCTGAATTTTACAAGTTGGTTCTACAATATCATTGAAACTATACGATGGTTCACTCGGCCACAATAAATCTAAAATTAAAACTATATGGTGGTTCACTCTGCATTAAAAGCCACAATAAATCCATGATTTAAATATATGTTAAAAGTTTAAAATTTGTATCCCCCCTTTTTTACTAGTATGACACATACTGTACAACTAGAATGTACAATTTGTTCCAGAATTTTTTGTTTACCTGGAGTACATTTGTATATTAGAAACACTTGTGAAGGCAATGTATATTGAGACTATGAAAAAGGGTAGGTACATGTAACTAAACATGCTATAGAATATTTTGACCTAATTTAAAGGAAACGAAAAAAATATGAGTGTCAAGCATTTAATGGCAAAAAAAGTTGTGAATAGTCCTGTTTAAACTAACTTAATTCTTGATATTTTAATGTGGCTCTTTATTCCAGGCTTGTGACTGGCAAGTTGTACTGTATTCATAATAATAAGCACCTTGGTTTTATTTAGAAATTAAAAATGGGGTATCTTATATCAATGAAAATGATAAAAGACGTAAATATTGGGTCTGCTCTAGATGATGATTGTAAAAATAATTTTTAAAATAGATTTCCTGCATAATGAGGTTATATTATTTAATCACAAAATTTGTAGGCAAATCTAAGCGTACTATCACGATTGTGGGTATTATGGTGCATGAAAATTGGTGAATACAGTATTACTTGGCTGCATTACCCACCTCCCTCCTCAATTTTTTTTTTTTTTTCTTTCATTTTTTTTTTAAATTTTCTTTTCTTTTTTTGAATTTTCTTTCTTTCTTCTCTTTTCTTTTCTTTTCTTTTCTTTTTTTGAATTTTCTTTCTTTCTTTTTTCTATTTTTTCTTTCTTTTTTTTTTTCTTTTCATTTTTTTTCTTTCCTTTTTTCTATTCATTACATGTATGTACACAAGTTTCAAGCACATGCATTATTTTTTTCTTTCTTATATAAATATATATGTATACATGTATGTTTTTGAAGAAGATTTTGAACAATTGTTTTTAGAATCAGAAATCAGTACTGGTGCCCCAACGTTCCAGTAGTTGTTTTGTTTGTTGATGCAGTGCATTTTTTGTCTTCATTTGGTTGTATTTTCCAAGCATTTTAAATCCAACAATCATCTTGGCTCTCTCATACTGTTTCGTAAAAGACCTGTTTCCTGGATATTCCATTGCAAGTCTTCAGTATATTGTAAAACTTTTAACTTCTTCACCGGTTCCTAGAATTGTATCAACCAGTGTTGTTGTTATTTTGTCTGGAAAAAATGATTTATTGATTTATAACATTAAAGAAGACTAATGATTTGTAGATAGAACAGAGGTTTTTTTTTTAATATATTTTATTGTTTAATGTTGATTATCTGCATAGGGAATCATTTCTATTGGGATATTATGACCAAAAGGCTAGTTTAGCTAGTGTATTTTCATATAGTAGCCTGGGCCCGTATGCATAATTTATAAAGCTACTTAAGTTAAGATTTGTTCCGAATGGACAGATTTTTCTACATGTCCTACAATAAATTAGTACTTCGATTGGATTTCTTAACTTAAGTGGTTTATGCATACAGGCCCTTGAGACTCAATACCAATTTGACAAAAAAATGTTTTGGAGCAATATTGCTTCATTCCAAACCCAATTCACATGCAGCTGTGCATATATTTGTGTACATGTACTTTAATATAGGGCACTGACTAGGATGTAATTGGGCTTGCATATATTTTCTTGCAATCTCTTGAAAAATCATACATAAACATTTAGAATTAGTAGAAATTAGTGATTTTAAATTGTGGTTAAAAGTACCCCCCATCTTTCCTTATAATACATAACACATTAATGGAACAGTAATTTTGCACACTGCTGAAGCATGTTTTGTTTGAAAACTATATACAGATATCTACCTGTTTGTGTACACATGTTTATTATGGATTCAGTTCTTCATGTTCCTGACAATCTTTCAAACTAAAAGGATCCAAAATCTTCATCTGCATAATGAAAAAAAACCTAAGTCCAAATTAAAATTATATGTGTGGTTCCAGTTACATTCTCAAAAAAAGATAGGGTCGGTGTGTTCACGGGGTCCGATTCTGGTATTATACACGCCCCTACCGCAAGTTTGCCATTTTCTATATGTTTGGTTGTGAAATATTACAGACATGTTACGTTTTTAGTTAATTTTGTTGCATTCTGTTAAGAAATTGTTGCATTTTTAGCCGTAGTGGATACTTTTATTGGAATTTCATATGACAGAAGTCTGTGAATTTAATTATTGAAATTCACATTCCATAAAATGGGATCATTCAAAATTTATTTTACAGAATAAAAAAAAAAGTTCTAGGATGGGTCTGGTAACTGGAACCACATATATATTTTTATTTTGCCTGAATTCAAACGGCAATCATGGCAATTGGTCACATTTTAATTGAGGTAGGTTTTGAAAATTAGTATCAAAATGAAGGCAATAGTGTGTGATTTAAAAAGAATTTTTGTTTCTGTTTGTTGTTAACATATAGGTCATTTTTTATGCCAGCACCGAAGCTGAGGGGCATTAAGTGTTACCCTAGCTTGTCTGTCTGTATGTGCATCCCAAAAGTGGTTACTGTTTTTAACTTTAGTTTGCCTCGACCAAATGTTTTGAAACTTATACACAATGCTAATTTCCACAAAACACTGTTCAGCTTTGAATTTAAATGGCGTCACTTTTACATGTTATATGGACACATTCTCCATTTATTTATCTTATTGCAAATTAGATTATGAAAAAATAACAAGGATTTTATAAGATTTTTAAACATGGGTTTTTAAACCATATGTAATAAAATTATGAAAAGATAAGTAGGGGTAAGTGGGCAAAATTGTAATGGCACTCCATGGATAAAACAAGAGGATTCTGAATATCTGACAAAAAGTTTAAAAGAAAAAAAGAAGGGCGACCATCTTTAAGTATTAATGTGTTTACGACACTTAGACAAAGACTATAACCATATATCCCCTGTGGTGCAAAATAGACAAAAAGAACTTCTGACCAATCTTTTAAAACTATCAAGATTATGCACATTATATTCCTCTCAATTTTAATTTTTTTAGAATGAAAATAAAATTTGTTTTCAACAGAGTAGATACCTACTCATTTATGAGAAGTATTAGACCACAAAGTTTTACTCCCCATCCATGAAAACAGTCACTGTAATAACCTAAAAAGGAATTAAAATTGACGCAAATTATATATTCTACAATAGTGTTAAATTGTTGGCCAAAAAATTAGTTTTCTGACTTAAGATTTCACATAGCATCAAAACCAGTTTAATATCTATAAAACCGGGAAAAAAAACATGTTTTGATTTTGTTTTAACATTAATTTTTTTCTCAATAATCTATGAGTTATCTCCCATTGAATGACACATTCTTGCTGTTTGTTGTACTAGTCTCCTCCTGAAGGTGAAATCTATCTCAGAATTTACTTTTCAAATGATATATTATTTTATTCATGTTACTGGAAACCAAATATCAAACTGATAAAATAACTTTCTTGGTACTTTGAATGTGGAAAATAAATGTTCTTTGTCGTATTTTCATAAAATTCTATGAAGGTTTGACAAAGTAATTGATAACTAATATTTTAACCTTAAAATTATCTTAGTGAAAACTTTGAAAAAAGTCCATTTATTGCATCTGTTGCAATGAAGGACTGATTTCCAAGTTAAATAAAAATTGATAATTCCCCTTCTCTGATTTTATATACAGCAATAATAACTAAATAACTCATACCCTACACACATTTGTTCCTTCAATTTGAATTTCAAAATTTTGCTGTGGATTCTTGTGATGTACAATTACTTTAAAGTTTGATAAAGATTTTGATGTTTGAAAACTTTTTAACCATAATACTGAACCTAAATTTGGACGCCTAAAACAAAGTAATGTGAATTGCTATGCCTGGCTTCTGCGACAAAATGTCACAGGCAAAATTCAAGTGCATTTACATAATCTTTAATTGACAAGTTTATAAATCTATGCAATGGTTCTTACCTTAAAAGACAGCTCCAATGACCATTCTAAACAATCCATACTGACAAGCAGTAACTAATGCTAACCTGAAAGTAAAATGCTTAGTCAATCAAAATTGTTCAAAACAGAGGCGATTAAGAGCCTGTGTCACTCTTCTTCATCTTCAACAATAACCACTTCCTGGTAAAAATCATCACGAAAGGGCAATAACTCTATAAAGAGTAAACTGATGATTTCAGTCATGTTGACATATTTGTAGGTCTGGTCCTGTTGATCATTTTTGCTTTACAAAAGGGCAATAACTCTATAAAGAGTAAACTGACGACTTCAGTCATGTTGACATATTTGTAGGTCTTGTCCTACTTTTTTCAAGATAATAGGCAAAAACTAAAAAAATTTGTGGTAAAAAAACGGCAAAAACTCCATGAACAGGTCGACTTAAGATTTAATCCAAGGCAGCTTTTTTGTAAATCTTGACTTGCTGATCAATGGTAAAAATCGTCATTGAAGATCAATAACTCCAATAACTAGTCCTCAGAAGATTTCAGTCATTTGACTTTTGTGCATATCTTGTCTTGCTTTTTATTGTATTAAAATTTCTCTCCATCTATTTTTATTTTCAAAATAATGAATAAAAATGAAAAAAAAATGGCAAAACTTCACATTTAAGGGCAATAACTCCTTTAAGAATTTCTGACAGTTTTGACGTAATTATACAGCTGGTAGATCTCAACATTCTGAACATTTCTTCATTTTCGTGGATTGAGGAACAATTGTATTTTTGTGGGTTTTGATAAAGTTGGCATACAAGCCTATAGAAAATTTATACTACATTGAACATTTATATATGTTGGTCACTTATATATCCACGAAAATTGGTATCCAAAGAATGATAATAAATCCAGAGTATATGGAAATAGGTTATACATGACATAAACTGTTAACACAGATATGTCTCCTCTATTTGTTATTTTGATAATGAAAATGATGAATTTAAAATAGCAATACATTAACATGCAAGTTATGCAAATATTCAAAGTTAATGAACCATGGCTGAAGGTACAGGGCTAAACAATCTCCATGGAATTGAGATGTGCCAATGTTAATACAAAAGTCAAATGCAAACCAAATACTATTGACTTTTCATAAGTCGTTCCCTTTAATCAAACCTAACCACAAACATTAACTTGTAAACTATGTAAAAGTTTCAAAGTCAATGAACCATAATTAGGGGGAGGGGTTATATAATCTCCATGGAAATGAAACTTGCAAATGCCACTACATTTGCATACCGAATATCATTGACTTAACATAAGTGGTTAATCTTAAACTGACCTAATCACAAACTCATACATGTAAACTAAGCAAAAGTTTTAAAGTCAATAGACCATGACTGAGGGGTAGGGACCAAATATTGTCCATGGAAATGAGATATGCCAATGCTTATACAACTGCATACCAAATATCATTGACCTACCACTAGTGGTTCCCCATAAACTGACCTAATTACAAACTAATACATGTAAACTAAGCAAAGTTTCAAAGTCAATAGACCTTGACTGAGGGGTGGGGCCAAATAATCTCCATGGTAATGTGAGGTGCCAATGCTAATACAACTGCATACCAAATATCATTGACCTACCACTAGTGGTTCACCATGAACTAGACCTAATCACAAACTAATACATTGTTGACCCCGTCGCCGCCGGAAACAGCATACCTATGTCTCACTTTTTGACTCCGTCAAGGCGCGACAAAAATGAGTAACAGAAGATGTGTTGTATACATCAATGTGACAACATCTCAACAACACAAAAATGATACATCCACAGAATTAATTAAAATCTTTAAAACATTCGGTCAAATTTTGGTATTGATATGAAAAAACAAACTTCTGACCTCTTACATCTTCAAGCATAGAGCATATTTTATTTCCTATAAACTTATTTTATGATGAAAATAAAACTTGTTTAAATAGAGGAATTATATACCTACTTAAATATTAGAAATATTATACCACCAAGTCTTACTCCCATCCATGAAAACACTGAAATCACCTAGAAAGGAATTAAAATTGACATAAATGATACATTTACAAATCTTGTTGAAATTGCCAGCCTAAAATTTTCAAAGAGTAATTTCCCAATGAATGAAACAGTCTTGCCGTTTGTTGTACTAGTCTCCCCTTGAAGGAAAAATATTCTCCGAATTTTACTTTTCGTGATTTGAAAGCTTTATTCATGTTCCTGCAAACCATATATTGAATTGATAAATTCTTTTTTTTTTTTGTGTTGTAAATGTGAAAAATAAGAAAACGGTTGTTGCCTTCTGTACTTTTATCACATATTTTTAGAGAATATACGGAAATTGTATTGCCTAATTGTACTTACATTATTTCTTTAATGGCCACACATCAGACTTGGAAGATTATCAATGTAATAATCTTTCTTGGAGCTGCTGTCCTTGCTTCTTTATTTTTTTCATGGCAGACTCGCAGAGCCTCAAAGTTAGTTGAAGATCTATGTTACCATCTTCCTTGGAGCTACTATCCCTGCATGCTGCTTTATTTTTTTTCACTCTGCATGTAGATGGAAATCAGATAGTTATTGTTTATATGTACCACTCAGAAATAACCTAAAAAGGAATTAAAATTGACATAAATTATACATTTTACAAATCTTGTTGAAATTGCCAGCCTAAAATTTTCAATGAGTAATCTCCCAATGAATGAAACAGTCTTGCCGTTTGTTGTACTAGTCTCCCCTTGAAGGAAAAATTCTCTCTGAATTTTACTTTTCGTGATTTAAAAGCTTTATTCGTGTTCCTGGAAACAATATATTGAATTGATAAATTCTTTTTTTTTGTGTGTTGTAAATGTTGAAAATAAGAAAAGGGTTGTTGCCTTCTGTACTTTTATCACATATTTTTAGAGAATATACAGAAATTGTATTGCCTAATTGTACTTACATTATTTCTTTAATGGCCACACATCAGACTTGGAAGATTATCAATGTAATAATCTTCCTTGGAGCTGCTGTTCTTGCTTCTTTATTTTTTTCATGGCAGACTCGCAGAGCCTCAAAGTTAGTTGAAGATCTATGTTACCATCTTCCTTGGAACTACTGTCCCTGCTCAGCTGCTTTATTTTTTTTTCACTCTGCATGTAGATGGAAATCAGATAGTTATTGTATATATGTACCACTCAGAAATAACCTAAAAAGGAATTAAAATTGACTTCAATTATACATTTTACAAATCTTGTTGAAATTGCAAGCTTAAAATTTTCAATGAGTAATCTCCCAATGAATGAAACAGTCTTGCCGTTTGTTGTACTAGTCTCCCCTTGAAGGAAAAATTCTCTCTGAATTTTACTTTTCGTGATTTAAAAGCTTTATTCGTGTTCCTGGAAACAATATATTGAATTGATAAATTCTTTTTTTTTTGTGTGTTGTAAATGTTGAAAATAAGAAAACGGTTGTTGCCTTCTGTACTTTTATCACATATTTTTAGAGAATATACAGAAATTGTATTGCCTAATTGTACTTACATTATTTCTTTAATGGCCACACATCAGACTTGGAAGATTATCAATGTAATAATCTTTCTTGGAGCTGCTGTCCTTGCTTCTTTATTTTTTTCATGGCAGACTTGCAGAGCCTCAAAGTTAGTTGAAGATCTATGTTACCATCTTCCTTGGAACTACTATCCCTGCTCAGCTGCTTTATTTTTTTTTTCACTCTGCATGTAGATGGAAATCAGATAGTTATTGTATATATGTACCACTCAGAAACGTGTCTGATTCCCCCAAACGTGTCCATATGACGTCAATGAACTGCAAAATATGACTTGTTGCTAAAGGGCATCAAAACGTGTTCTGTTTATGAACGCCCAAACGTATCCAGTCTATATGGAACCAAAGGGTTCTTTTAAAAAGCCCAGAAACAACTTCTGCAGGAAGCCTGTCGTGCAATACCTTCATACATTATAAAGATATTTAGGCATCACCAGAGTATATTAGTACAAAATAATTCACTAAGTAAACGATGATCTACACTGTACAAAACTAGTTAATTGCATTTTCTGTGTAATTGTTTACTCTAAATATGCTTGAAATATTAGCCACTGGCATTAAGCAATCAACGGTCAATAGTTAAATTAAGCTTGCAATAATGCTTAATATAAACAACCGGCATTGAACAAATTAATGCTAATAAATGACCACTGACTGTATTAACAGTGAAGCACTGGGAAAACATGCAATATAAATTGTATTAGATTTCTTAATTATGAAGTACCTCCAACTGTAATTTAGAACAATGACAATTCTATTGATAAAAAATTAATGAACCACTGTAAGTAAAAATAGCTTATTTTGTCATCTTTTTTCTTACACTGTTTATTTGAAAGCAGAAGTCCCGGTGCACATTGTACCATATCTTAGATATTTGTCTATGCGGATTACTATATCTTTCCTCCAGATGTCCTTAGATAGCTGCTTCAATTTATTTTTAAAATCCAACCCAAACCTGACGTCTTCTATCGTGTCCCCCATCATTGTATAGCCATAAACTTCACAGGAGACATAAAAACGATAAAAGTTTTGAGACGTTCTGGCGCTTTAAACTGGACACGTTTTGGCGAATAACAATTATTGGACAAGTTTAAGGGAGTGAAATCGGTCACGTTTGGGTGATTTAAGATTCTAAGGACACGTTTGGGGGAATCTGACATGTTTGGGGGGATGGAAACGTTTGGGAGTGTTACATATATATCGTGATTTCTTCAACTACTCTTAAATATGTTCAGCAAAGTTAAACTGAATCTTGAACAGTTTGTACATTTACAATTTAACTTTTTTAAATATTACTTTTGCACATATGCAGTTTTAGTTGTTAATTCTACAGGTCTTTGAAGCATTTCATATTAGTGTTGATATATCAAAGGACAGATGGGCATCTCACATCATCCTTTGGGCTCTCAGTTAATTCTCATCTGAGTTTTTGAACATTTAAGAAATTTTATTGTCTGGAGTTAGAAACCAAATTATTTTTATTCCCCCAAGTATTCTGTTGTCTGGTCACTATCTTCAGTTCCAACTTGTTTGGCTGCTATATCTAAAGCTATAGGGAGCCATGCTGTGTTCCTTTGAATTGAAAGGTGTGTAACGGTCTTTGAAGTTTGCTCCTTATGAATGGCTAATAAACTTTTAGGCCACAAACGGTCAAAATACCCCAAAATAATCAACTTTTTCAACAAATTGCACAGACTGTAAGCTTACATGATTTTACTTCTTTCAGTCTTTCTTACATCACAGAGTACTAGAATGTCTTACCACAGAGTAGGTTACCTATCGAACAGTTCTATACTCTCTAGTCAATTCGGTAACATGAAAATAGATTATAACAATAAATTTTTATTAAAGAATGTATCATTAGAATATTAATTTGAAAGCTATAAATATTAAACCCAGTTGTGATTAAAAAACCAAGCATTTTTCCCAGGGGAAACTGATTTTATTATTACCTAACAAGGTTTAACCTAACTCATCTTCATCTTCTATGTACAATGGAACCATATTCAAGCTGTATATTACCACTGAAACTTCTCAGGCCTGCATTTGTAACAAAAACAAAAATTATAAAAGAGTGATGTGTTGGATAACTTCTGGCACAAATAATTTACCGTTAATTCAGAAACACTATTGCGAGATTTTAATAATCTGAATAATGAAACAGGTTGAGTATTGCAATAATAAGAAACTCCAATTCCGATATCTGTATAAAAACTTTCCTGAAATTCAATAAAATAATCTTACTTTTAGTCCATAATGTAAAAATCGCAATAATAAATGCACACAATAATTTCTGAATTTACAGAGTTTGCTTTGGTAAGAGAAACACAAAAGTATGAATTTGTGATGAGTATAAATTGTAGGATATCTTTACATATATAACTGCTGGTATATTTGTATTTGACTTCAGTATTGAAGACTTTTTAATAATATAATCATTATATCGAAATTAATGTGGGTGTCAAATTATCAGAAGTTGGTGGCTAACCAAAACAATCTGATGTATACATTTATGTAGATATCGAAATTGACAATCAGAAACTTAACTTTCGTTTAGGTGTTTCATTCAGGTGAGACTATTAGAGACAGGGTTTCAAAATTGTCAATATTAAGAGACTGTTTGCTGTTATAATTAATTCAGAAATTAATGTGATGCATGTTTTAATTCAAATCCTAAATTAGAGTACAAGTATACTTTCTTATTAAAATATATTTCATTAGAGTATAAATTTGAAAAAGAAATTTTGAACTAATTTGTACAAAATCGACTAAATATGTAGATAAACACTGACAATCAGAAACTTTACTTTCGTTCAGGTGAGACTATTTGCTGTTATAATTAACTGATTTTGGACTAATTTGTAATAAATTTTCAAGCTGTTTCTCCAGGGAAAACTGATTTTGTTACCTTAAAACTATTAACAGTTTAAGTACAATTGTAACGACAAAATACATACATCATCATCTAGGCATCTACAATTAATCATCTCCAGGTCTCGGACTGTTATTTCGTCTTCTTCTCTCTGGGCTCCCGTCTATCTGTAATACATATTCAAATCATTTTATTATCTATCAGACAACTATTAATAAATAAAAAAAAAAATATACTTACTTTCCGATGCATATGTTACCTGTCCTGATGTAAATATCCTGGGGCTGGTATCTGAAACAAAAACAAAATAAGTTCAAAAATATTGAACCAAATATAAAACTTTAAAAATTTGCTACTTTTAATTTTTTTTTCTTTCAAAATATCTATAAAGAAAAACTGGCATTAATGGCAGCCATCATCATTGGTCAATTGCTCTTTTTGACTGTGAATCATTAACTTTTTTTCATTTTAAATCTATATTTCAAACAGTAATGAAGACGGTTTAATGATATAATCATTATTTCCGAAATTAATGTGCGTGTCAAATTATCAGAAGTTGGTGGCTAACCAAAACAATCTAATGTACCGGTATACATTTTGAACAGAAATGATTAAAATTCAACTGAATTTCAAACAATCTAAATCAAGTCATATTTTCCAAATTACTTTTTAAAAACTCAACTAAATATGTAGATAAACAAATTGACAATCGGAAACTTTACTTTCGTTCAGGTGAGACTATTAGAGAAAGGGTTTCCAAATTGTCAATGTTAAGAGACTATTTGCTGTTATGATTAATTCAGAAATTAATGTGATGCATGTTTTAATTCAAATCCTAAATTGGAGTACAAGTATACTTTTTTCATTCGAGTATAAATTTGAAAAAGAAATTTTGGACTAATTTGTAATAAATTTTAGAGCTGTTTCTCCAGGGAAAACTGATTTTATTACCTTACAACTATTAACAGTTTAAGTACAATTGTAATGACAAAATACATACATCATCATCTAGGCATCTACAATTAATCATCTCCAAGTCTAGGACTGTTATTTCGTCTTCTTCTCTCTGGGCTCCCGTCTATCTGTAATACATATTCAAATCATTTTATTATCTATCAGACAACTATTAATAAATAAAAAAAAAATATACTTACTTTCTGATGCATATGTTACCTGTCCTGATGTAAATATCCTGGGGCTGGTATCTGAAACAAAAACAAAATAAGTTCAAAAATATTGAACCAAATATAAAACTTAAAAAATTTGCTACTTTTAATTTTTTTTTCTTTCAAAATATCTATAAAGAAAAACTGGCATTAATGGCAGCCATCATCATTGGTCAATTGCTCTTTTTGACTGTGAATCATTAACTTTTTTTTTCATTTTAAATCTATATTTCAAACAGTAATGAAGACGGTTTAATGATATAATCATTATTTCCGAAATTAATGTGTGTGTCAAATTATCAGAAGTTGGTGGCTAACCAAAACAATCTGATGTATACATTTTGAACAGAAATGATTAAAATTCAACTGAATTTTAAACAATCTAAATCAAGTCAAATTTTCCAAATTACTTTTTAAAAAATCAACTAAATATGTAGATAAACATTGATAAACGGAAACTTTACTTTCGTTCAGGTGAGACTATTAGAGAAAGGGTTTCCAAATTGTAGATGTTAAGAGACTATTTGCTGTTATAATTAATTCAGAAATTAATGTGATGCATGTTTTAATTCAAATCCTAAATTGGAGTACAAGTATACTTTTTTCATTCGAGTATAAATTTGAAAAAGAAATTTTGGACTAATTTGTAATAAATTTTCAAGCTGTTTCTCCAGGGAAAACTGATTTTATTACCTTACAACTATTATCAGTTTAAGTACAATTGTAACGACAAAATACATACATCATCATCTAGGCATCTACAATTAATCATCTCCAAGTCTAGGACTGTTATTTCGTCTTCTTCTCTCTGGGCTCCCGTCTATCTGTAATACATATTCAAATCATTTTAATATCTATCAGACAACTATTAATAAATAAAAAAAAAATATATACTTACTTTCCGATGCATATGTTACCTGTCCTGATGTAAATATCCTGGGGCTGGTATCTGAAACAAAAACAAAATAAGTTCAAAAATATTGAACCAAATATAAAACTTAAAAAATTTGCTACTTTTAATTTTTTTTTCTTTCAAAATATCTATAAAGAAAAACTGGCATTTATGGCAGCCATCATCATTGGTCAATTGCTCTTTTTGACTTTAAATCATTAACTTATTTTCATTTTAAATCTATATTTCAAACAGTAATGAAGACGGTTTAATGATATAATCATTATTTCTGAAATTAATGTGCGTATCAAATTATCAGAAGTTGGTGGCTAACCAAAACAATCTGATGTATACATTTTGAACAGAAATGATTAAAATTCAACTGAATTTCAAACAATCTAAATCAAGTCATATTTTCCAAATTACTTTTTAAAAAATCAACTAAATATGTAGATAAACAAATTGACAATCGGAAACTTTACTTTCGTTCAGGTGAGACTATTAGAGAAAGGGTTTCCAAATTGTCAATGTTAAGAGACTATTTGCTGTTATGATTAATTCAGAAATTAATGTGATGCATGTTTTAATTCAAATCCTAAATTGGAGTACAAGTATACTTTTTTCATTCGAGTATAAATTTGAAAAAGAAATTTTGGACTAATTTGTAATAAATTTTAGAGCTGTTTCTCCAGGGAAAACTGATTTTATTACCTTACAACTATTAACAGTTTAAGTACAATTGTAATGACAAAATACATACATCATCATCTAGGCATCTACAATTAATCATCTCCAAGTCTAGGACTGTTATTTCGTCTTCTTCTCTCTGGTCTCCCGTCTATCTGTAATACATATTCAAATCATTTTATTATCTATCAGACAACTATTAATAAATAAAAAAAAATATATACTTACTTTCCTATGCATATGTTACCTGTCCTGATGTAATAATCCTGGGGCTGGTATCTGAAACAAAAACAAAATAAGTTCAAAAATATTGAACCAAATATAAAACTTAAAAAATTTGTTACTTTTAATTTTTTTTTCTTTCAAAATATCTATAAAGAAAAACTGGCATTAATGGCAGCCATCATCATTGGTCAATTGCTCTTTTTGACTGTGAATCATTAACTTTTTTTTCATTTTAAATCTATATTTCAAACAGTAATGAAGACGGTTTAATGATATAATCATTATTTCCAAAATTAATGTGTGTGTCAAATTATCAGAAGTTGGTGGCTAACCAAAACAATCTGATGTATACATTTTGAACAGAAATGATTAAAATTCAACTGAATTTTAAACAATCTAAATCAAGTCAAATTTTCCAAATTACTTTTTAAAAAATCAACTAAATATGTAGATAAACATTGATAATCGGAAACTTTACTTTCGTTCAGGTGAGACTATTAGAGAAAGGGTTTCCAAATTGTCAATGTTAAGAGACTATTTGCTGTTATAATTAATTCAGAAATCAATGTGATGCATGTTTTAATTCAAATCCTAAATTGGAGTACAAGTATACTTTTTTCATTCGAGTATAAATTTGAAAAAGAAATTTTGGACTAATTTGTAATAAATTTTCAAGCTGTTTCTCCAGGGAAAACTGATTTTATTACCTTACAACTATTAACAGTTTAAGTACAATTGTAACGACAAAATACATACATCATCATCTAGGCATCTACAATTAATCATCTCCAAGTCTAGGACTGTTATTTCGTCTTCTTCTCTCTGGGCTCCCGTCTATCTGTAATACATATTCAAATCATTTTAATATCTATCAGACAACTATTAATAAATAAAATAAAAAAATATACTTACTTTCCGATGCATATGTTACCTGTCCTGATGTAAATATCCTGGGGCTGGTATCTGAAACAAAAACAAAATAAGTTCAAAAATATTGAACCAAATATAAAACTTAAAAAATTTGCTACTTTTAATTTTTTTTTCTTTCAAAATATCTATAAAGAAAAACTGGCATTAATGGCAGCCATCATCATTGGTTAATTGCTCTTTTTGACTGTAAATCATTAACTTATTTTCATTTTAAATCTATATTTCAAACAGTAATGAAGACGGTTTAATGATATAATCATTATTTCTGAAATTAATGTGCGTATCAAATTATCAGAAGTTGGTGGCTAACCAAAACAATCTGATGTATATATTTTGAACAGAAATGATTAAAATTCAACTGAATTTCAAACAATCTAAATCAAGTCATATTTTCCAAATTACTTTTTAAAAAATCAACTAAATATGTAGATAAACATTGATAATCGGAAACTTTACTTTCGTTCAGGTGAGACTATTAGAGAAAGGGTTTCCAAATTGTCAATGTTAAGAGACTATTTGCTGTTATAATTAGTTCAGAAATCAATGTGATGCATGTTTTAATTCAAATCCTAAATTGGAGTACAAGTATACTTTTTTCATTCGAGTATAAATTTGAAAAAGAAATTTTGGACTAATTTGTAATAAATTTTCAAGCTGTTTCTCCAGGGAAAACTGATTTTATTACCTTACAACTATTAACAGTTTAAGTACAATTGTAACGACAAAATACATACATCATCATCTAGGCATCTACAATTAATCATCTCCAAGTCTAGGACTGTTATTTCGTCTTCTTCTCTCTGGGCTCCTGTCTATCTGTAATACATATTCAAATCATTTTATTATCTATCAGACAACTATTAATAAATAAAATAAAAAATATACTTACTTTCCGATGCATATGTTACCTGTCCTGATGTAAATATCCTCGGGCTGGTATCTGAAACAAAAACAAAATAAGTTCAAAAATATTGAACCAAATATAAAACTTCAAAAATTTGCTACTTTTAATATTTTTTTCTTTCAAAATATCTATAAAGAAAAACTGGCATTAATGGCAGCCATCATCATTGGTCAATTGCTCTTTTTGACTGAATCATTAACTTTTTTTCATTTTAAATCTATATTTTAAACAGTAATGAAGACGGTTTAATGATATAATCATTATTTCCGAAATTAATGTGCGTGTCAAATTATCAGAAGTTGGTGGCTAACCAAAACAATCTGATGTATACATTTTGAACAGAAATGATTAAAATTCAACTGAATTTCAAACAATCTAAATCAAGTCATATTTCCCCAGTTTTTGGTGGGGTTCGTGTTGCTTAGTCTTTAGTTTTCTATGTTGTGTCATCTGTACTATTATTTGTCTGATTGTCTTTTTATTTTTGGCCATGACGTTGTCAGTTTGTTTTCGATCAATGAGTTTGACTGTCCCTCTGGTATCTTTCGTCCCTCTTTTCTCTTCCAAATAACTTTTTAAAAAATCGACTAAATATGTAGATAAACATTGATAATCGGAAACTTTACTTTCGTTCAGGTGAGACTATTAGAGAAAGGGTTTCCAAATTGTCAATGTTAAGAGACTATTTGCTGTTATAATTAATTCAAAAATCAATGTGATGCATGTTTTAATTCAAATCCTAAATTGGAGTACAAGTATACTTTTTTCATTCGAGTATAACTTTGAAAAAGAAATTTTGGACTAATTTGTAATAAATTTTAGAGCTGTTTCTCCAGGGAAAACTGATTTTATTACCTTACAACTATTAACAGTTTAAGTACAATTGTAACGACAAAATACATACATCATCATCTAGGCATCTACAATTAATCATCTCCAAGTCTAGGACTGTTATTTCGTCTTCTTCTCTCTGGGTTCCCGTCTATCTGTAATACATATTCAAATCATTTTAATATCTATCAGACAACTATTAATAAATAAAAAAAAAAATATACTTACTTTCCGATGCATATGTTACCTGTCCTGATGTAAATATCCTGGGGCTGGTATCTGAAACAAAAACAAAATAAGTTCAAAAATATTGAACCAAATATAAAACTTAAAAAATTTGCTACTTTAATTTTTTTTTCTTTCAAAATATCTATAAAGAAAAACTGGCATTAATGTATATCATTAACTTATTTTCATTTTAAATCTATATTTCAAACAGTAATGAAGACGGTTAAATGATATAATCATTATTTCCGAAATTAATGTGTGTGTCAAATTATCAGAAGTTGGTGGCTAACCAAAACAATCTGATGGATACATTTTGAACAGAAATGATTAAAATTCAACTGAATTTCAAACAATCTAAATCAAGTCAAATTTTCCAAATTACTTTTTAAAAACTCAACTAAATATGTAGATAAACAAATTGACAATCGGAAACTTTACTTTCGTTCAGGTGAGACTATTAGAGAAAGGGTTTCCAAATTGTCAATGTTAAGAGACTATTTGCTGTTATAATTAATTCAGAAATCAATGTGATGCATGTTTTAATTCAAATCCTAAATTGGAGTACAAGTATACTTTTTTCATTCGAGTATAAATTTGAAAAAGAAATTTTGGACTAATTTGTAATAAATTTTAGAGCTGTTTCTCCAGGGAAAACTGATTTTATTACCTTACAACTATTAACAGTTTAAGTACAATTGTAACAACAAAATACATACATCATCATCTAGGCATCTACAATTAATCATCTCCAAGTCTAGGACTGTTATTTCGTCTTCTTCTCTCTGGGCTCCCGTCTATCTGTAATACATATTCAAATCATTTTATTATCTATCAGACAACTATTAATAAATAAAAAAAAAAATATACTTACTTTCCGATGCATATGTTACCTGTCCTGATGTAAATATCCTGGGGCTGGTATCTGAAACAAAAACAAAATAAGTTTAAAAATATTGAACCAAATATAAAACTTAAAAAATTTGCTACTTTAATTTTTTTTTCTTTCAAAATATCTATAAAGAAAAACTGGCATTAATGGCAGCCATCATCATTGGTCAATTGCTCTTTTTGACTGTATATCATTAACTTATTTTCATTTTAAATCTATATTTCAAACAGTAATGAAGACGGTTTAATGATATAATCATTATTTCCGAAATTAATGTGCGTGTCAAATTATCAGAAGTTGGTGGCTAACCAAAACAATCTGATGTATCGGTATACATTTTGAACAGAAATGATTAAAATTCAACTGAATTTCAAACAATCTAAATCAAGTCATATTTTCCAAATTACTTTTTAAAAACTCAACTAAATATGTAGATAAACAAATTGACAATTGGAAACTTTACTTTCGTTCAGGTGAGACTATTAGAGAAAGGGTTTCCAAATTGTCAATGTTAAGAGACTATTTGCTGTTATGATTAATTCAGAAATTAATGTGATGCATGTTTTAATTCAAATCCTAAATTGGAGTACAAGTATACTTTTTTCATTCGAGTATAAATTTGAAAAAGAAATTTTGGACTAATTTGTAATAAATTTTAGAGCTGTTTCTCCAGGGAAAACTGATTTTATTACCTTATAACTATTAACAGTTTAAGGTAGATGGGGTGTCTAAATTATAAACCATAGAATTTTTTAATAATTTGCCAAAATGTAGTTTATATCAAGCTTTTTAAAAAAAAATGATAGAAAGAATGGGTCATGGGGCTTATTTTCACGCTACAGGTTGTTCAAAATTAACAAATTTTGTATAGATTATGCATGGAAAACCCAATTTTCTGCCATAAAACGAAAACTACACCATAGAATTTTGAGATAAAATATGAGAAGATAGCGTAATAGTATGCTTTCAGATAAGAAAAAGAAAAAATGGGGTCACCGGACCCGTTTTCTTGCTACATAATAAAATAGGTAAATTCCTAACACATTCTATTGTAAAAGTACCTTTATCTGAATTATCTGCCCTTACATTTGAGTTGCCTCCCCTTATGTGGCAAAGTTGGAAAAAATTGAATCAAACAAAAGTTTTCTGTTTTTTGTAAAATACAACCATAAATATGATAAAACATGTCATTTTCTATATTGAAATGAAAATTCTTTCACATGAATTACCTACTACTCTCAAAATTTGCACATTCTATTAAAGATCTAGATCGATTGTTTTCAGGTATTACAAAATCCAAGATGGAGGAAGACACCCTATCTACCTTAAGTACAATTGTAACGACAAAATACATACATCATCATCTAGGCATCTACAATTAATCATCTCCAAGTCTAGGACTGTTATTTTGTCTTCTTCTCTCTGGGCTCCCGTCTATCTGTAATACATATTCAAATCATTTTATTATCTATCAGACAACTATTAATAAATAAAATAAAAAATATACTTACTTTCCTATGCATATGTTACCTGTCCTGATGTAAATATCCTGGGGCTGGTATCTGAAACAAAAACAAAATAAGTTCAAAAATATTGAACCAAATATAAAACTTAAAAAATTTACTACTTTTAATTTTTTTTTCTTTCAAAATATCTATAAAGAAAAACTGGCATTAATGGCAGCCATCATCATTGGTCAATTGCTCTTTTTGACTGTGAATCATTAACTTTTTTTCATTTTAAATCTATATTTCAAACAGTAATGAAGACGGTTTAATGATATAATCATTATTTCTGAAATTAATGTGCGTATCAAATTATCAGAAGTTGGTGGCTAACCAAAACAATCTGATGTATACATTTTGAACAGAAATGATTAAAATTCAACTGAATTTCAAACAATCTAAATCAAGTCATATTTTCCAAATTACTTTTTAAAAAATCTACTAAATATGTAGATAAACATTGACAATCGGAAACTTTACTTTCGTTCAGGTGAGACTATTAGAAAAAGGGTTTCCAAATTGTAGATGTTAAGAGACTATTTGCTGTTATAATTAATTCAGAAATTAATGTGATGCATGTTTTAATTCAAATCCTAAATTGGAGTACAAGTATACTTTTTTCATTCGAGTATAAATTTGAAAAAGAAATTTTGGACTAATTTGTAATAAATTTTAGAGCTGTTTCTCCAGGGAAAACTGATTTTATTACCTTACAACTATTAACAGTTTAAGTACAATTGTAACGACAAAATACATACATCATCATCTAGGCATCTACAATTAATCATCTCCAAGTCTAGGACTGTTATTTCGTCTTCTTCTCTCTGGGCTCCCGTCTATCTGTAATACATATTCAAATCATTTTATTATCTATCAGACAACTATTAATAAATAAAATAAAAAATATACTTACTTTCCTATGCATATGTTACCTGTCCTGATGTAAATATCCTGGGGCTGGTATCTGAAACAAAAACAAAATAAGTTCAAAAATATTGAACCAAATATAAAACTTAAAATTTGCTACTTTTAATTTTTTTTTTTTCAAAATATCTATAAAGAAAAACTGGCATTAATGGCAGCCATCATCATTGGTCAATTGCTCTTTTTGACTGTGAATCATTAACTTTTTTTCATTTTAAATCTATATTTCAAACAGTAATGAAGACGGTTTAATGATATAATCATTATTTCCGAAATTAATGTGCGTGTCAAATTATCAGAAGTTGGTGGCTAACCAAAACAATCTGATGTATACATTTTGAACAGAAATGATTAAAATTCAACTGAATTTCAAACAATCTATATCAAGTCATATTTCCCCAGTTTTTGGTGGGGTTCGTGTTGCTTAGTCTTTAGTTTTCTATGTTGTGTCATCTGTACTATTATTTGTCTGATTGTCTTTTTATTTTTGGCCATGACGTTGTCAGTTTGTTTTCGATCAATGAGTTTGACTGTCCCTCTGGTATCTTTCGTCCCTCTTTTCTCTTCCAAATAACTTTTTAAAAAATCGACTAAATATGTAGATAAACATTGATAATCGGAAACTTTACTTTCGTTCAGGTGAGACTATTAGAGAAAGGGTTTCCAAATTGTCAATGTTAAGAGACTATTTGCTGTTATAATTAATTCAGAAATCAATGTGATGCATGTTTTAATTCAAATCCTAAATTGGAGTACAAGTATACTTTTTTCATTCGAGTATAACTTTGAAAAAGAAATTTTGGACTAATTTGTAATAAATTTTAGAGCTGTTTCTCCAGGGAAAACTGATTTTATTACCTTACAACTATTAACAGTTTAAGTACAATTGTAACGACAAAATACATACATCATCATCTAGGCATCTACAATTAATCATCTCCAAGTCTAGGACTGTTATTTCGTCTTCTTCTCTCTGGGCTCCCGTCTATCTGTAATACATATTCAAATCATTTTAATATCTATCAGACAACTATTAATAAATAAAAAAAAAAATATACTTACTTTCCGATGCATATGTTACCTGTCCTGATGTAAATATCCTGGGGCTGGTATCTGAAACAAAAACAAAATAAGTTCAAAAATATTGAACCAAATATAAAACTTAAAAAATTTGCTACTTTAATTTTTTTTTCTTTCTAAATATCTTTAAAGAAAAACTGGCATTAATGTATATCATTAACTTATTTCCATTTTAAATCTATATTTCAAACAGTAATGAAGACGGTTTAATGATATAATCATTATTTCCGAAATTAATGTGCGTGTCAAATTATCAGAAGTTGGTGGCTAACCAAAACAATCTGATGGATACATTTTGAACAGAAATGATTAAAATTCAACTGAATTTCAAACAATCTAAATCAAGTCAAATTTTCCAAATTACTTTTTAAAAACTCAACTAAATATGTAGATAAACAAATTGACAATCGGAAACTTTACTTTCGTTCAGGTGAGACTATTAGAGAAAGGGTTTCCAAATTGTCAATGTTAAGAGACTATTTGCTGTTATAATTAATTCAGAAATCAATGTGATGCATGTTTTGTGGTCGGGTTGTTGTCTCTTTGACACATTCCCCATTTCCATTCTCAATTTTATTTAATTCAAATCCTAAATTGGAGTACAAGTATACTTTTTTCATTCGAGTATAAATTTGAAAAAGAAATTTTGGACTAATTTGTAATAAATTTTAGAGCTGTTTCTCCAGGGAAAACTGATTTTATTACCTTATAACTATTAACAGTTTAAGGTAGATGGGGTGTCTAAATTATAAACCATAGAATTTTTTAATAATTTGCCAAAATGTAGTTTATATCAAGCTTTTTAAAAAAAAATGATAGAAAGAATGGGTCATGGGGCTTATTTTCACGCTACAGGTTGTTCAAAATTAACAAATTTTGTATAGATTATGCATGGAAAACCCAATTTTCTGCCATAAAACGAAAACTACACCATAGAATTTTGAGATAAAATATGAGAAGATAGCGTAATAGTATGCTTTCAGATAAGAAAAAGAAAAAATGGGGTCACCGGACCCGTTTTCTTGCTACATAATAAAATAGGTAAATTCCTAACACATTCTATTGTAAAAGTACCTTTATCTGAATTATCTGCCCTTACATTTGAGTTGCCTCCCCTTATGTGGCAAAGTTGGAAAAAATTGAATCAAACAAAAGTTTTCTGTTTTTTGTAAAATACAACCATAAATATGATAAAACATGTCATTTTCTATATTGAAATGAAAATTCTTTCACATGAATTACCTACTACTCTCAAAATTTGCACATTCTATTAAAGATCTAGATCGATTGTTTTCAGGTATTACAAAATCCAAGATGGAGGAAGACACCCTATCTACCTTAAGTACAATTGTAACGACAAAATACATACATCATCATCTAGGCATCTACAATTAATCATCTCCAAGTCTAGGACTGTTATTTTGTCTTCTTCTCTCTGGGCTCCCGTCTATCTGTAATACATATTCAAATCATTTTATTATCTATCAGACAACTATTAATAAATAAAATAAAAAATATACTTACTTTCCTATGCATATGTTACCTGTCCTGATGTAAATATCCTGGGGCTGGTATCTGAAACAAAAACAAAATAAGTTCAAAAATATTGAACCAAATATAAAACTTAAAAAATTTACTACTTTTAATTTTTTTTTCTTTCAAAATATCTATAAAGAAAAACTGGCATTAATGGCAGCCATCATCATTGGTCAATTGCTCTTTTTGACTGTGAATCATTAACTTTTTTTCATTTTAAATCTATATTTCAAACAGTAATGAAGACGGTTTAATGATATAATCATTATTTCTGAAATTAATGTGCGTATCAAATTATCAGAAGTTGGTGGCTAACCAAAACAATCTGATGTATACATTTTGAACAGAAATGATTAAAATTCAACTGAATTTCAAACAATCTAAATCAAGTCATATTTTCCAAATTACTTTTTAAAAAATCTACTAAATATGTAGATAAACATTGACAATCGGAAACTTTACTTTCGTTCAGGTGAGACTATTAGAAAAAGGGTTTCCAAATTGTAGATGTTAAGAGACTATTTGCTGTTATAATTAATTCAGAAATTAATGTGATGCATGTTTTAATTCAAATCCTAAATTGGAGTACAAGTATACTTTTTTCATTCGAGTATAAATTTGAAAAAGAAATTTTGGACTAATTTGTAATAAATTTTAGAGCTGTTTCTCCAGGGAAAACTGATTTTATTACCTTACAACTATTAACAGTTTAAGTACAATTGTAACGACAAAATACATACATCATCATCTAGGCATCTACAATTAATCATCTCCAAGTCTAGGACTGTTATTTCGTCTTCTTCTCTCTGGTCTCCCGTCTATCTGTAATACATATTCAAATCATTTTATTATCTATCAGACAACTATTAATAAATAAAATAAAAAATATACTTACTTTCCTATGCATATGTTACCTGTCCTGATGTAAATATCCTGGGGCTGGTATCTGAAACAAAAACAAAATAAGTTCAAAAATATTGAACCAAATATAAAACTTAAAATTTGCTACTTTTAATTTTTTTTTTTTCAAAATATCTATAAAGAAAAACTGGCATTAATGGCAGCCATCATCATTGGTCAATTGCTCTTTTTGACTGTGAATCATTAACTTTTTTTCATTTTAAATCTATATTTCAAACAGTAATGAAGACGGTTTAATGATATAATCATTATTTCCGAAATTAATGTGCGTGTCAAATTATCAGAAGTTGGTGGCTAACCAAAACAATCTGATGTATACATTTTGAACAGAAATGATTAAAATTCAACTGAATTTCAAACAATCTATATCAAGTCATATTTCCCCAGTTTTTGGTGGGGTTCGTGTTGCTTAGTCTTTAGTTTTCTATGTTGTGTCATCTGTACTATTATTTGTCTGATTGTCTTTTTATTTTTGGCCATGACGTTGTCAGTTTGTTTTCGATCAATGAGTTTGACTGTCCCTCTGGTATCTTTCGTCCCTCTTTTCTCTTCCAAATAACTTTTTAAAAAATCGACTAAATATGTAGATAAACATTGATAATCGGAAACTTTACTTTCGTTCAGGTGAGACTATTAGAGAAAGGGTTTCCAAATTGTCAATGTTAAGAGACTATTTGCTGTTATAATTAATTCAGAAATCAATGTGATGCATGTTTTAATTCAAATCCTAAATTGGAGTACAAGTATACTTTTTTCATTCGAGTATAACTTTGAAAAAGAAATTTTGGACTAATTTGTAATAAATTTTAGAGCTGTTTCTCCAGGGAAAACTGATTTTATTACCTTACAACTATTAACAGTTTAAGTACAATTGTAACGACAAAATACATACATCATCATCTAGGCATCTACAATTAATCATCTCCAAGTCTAGGACTGTTATTTCGTCTTCTTCTCTCTGGGCTCCCGTCTATCTGTAATACATATTCAAATCATTTTAATATCTATCAGACAACTATTAATAAATAAAAAAAAAAATATACTTACTTTCCGATGCATATGTTACCTGTCCTGATGTAAATATCCTGGGGCTGGTATCTGAAACAAAAACAAAATAAGTTCAAAAATATTGAACCAAATATAAAACTTAAAAAATTTGCTACTTTAATTTTTTTTTCTTTCTAAATATCTTTAAAGAAAAACTGGCATTAATGTATATCATTAACTTATTTCCATTTTAAATCTATATTTCAAACAGTAATGAAGACGGTTTAATGATATAATCATTATTTCCGAAATTAATGTGCGTGTCAAATTATCAGAAGTTGGTGGCTAACCAAAACAATCTGATGGATACATTTTGAACAGAAATGATTAAAATTCAACTGAATTTCAAACAATCTAAATCAAGTCAAATTTTCCAAATTACTTTTTAAAAACTCAACTAAATATGTAGATAAACAAATTGACAATCGGAAACTTTACTTTCGTTCAGGTGAGACTATTAGAGAAAGGGTTTCCAAATTGTCAATGTTAAGAGACTATTTGCTGTTATAATTAATTCAGAAATCAATGTGATGCATGTTTTGTGGTCGGGTTGTTGTCTCTTTGACACATTCCCCATTTCCATTCTCAATTTTATTTAATTCAAATCCTAAATTGGAGTACAAGTATACTTTTTTCATTCGAGTATAAATTTGAAAAAGAAATTTTGGACTAATTTGTAATAAATTTTAGAGCTGTTTCTCCAGGGAAAACTGATTTTATTACCTTACAACTATTAACAGTTTAAGTACAATTGTAACAACAAAATACATACATCATCATCTAGGCATCTACAATTAATCATCTCCAAGTCTAGGACTGTTATTTCGTCTTCTTCTCTCTGGGCTCCCGTCTATCTGTAATACATATTCAAATCATTTTATTATCTATCAGACAACTATTAATAAATAAAAAAAAAAATATACTTACTTTCCGATGCATATGTTACCTGTCCTGATGTAAATATCCTGGGGCTGGTATCTGAAACAAAAACAAAATAAGTTTAAAAATATTGAACCAAATATAAAAGTTAAAAAATTTGCTACTTTAATTTTTTTTTCTTTCAAAATATCTATAAAGAAAAACTGGCATTAATGTATATCATTAACTTATTTTCATTTTAAATCTATATTTCAAACAGTAATGAAGACGGTTTAATGATATAATCATTATTTCCGAAATTAATGTGCATGTCAAATTATCAGAAGTTGGTGGCTAACCAAAACAATCTGATGTATCGGTATACATTTTGAACAGAAATGATTAAAATTCAACTGAATTTCAAACAATCTAAATCAAGTCATATTTTCCAAATTACTTTTTAAAAACTCAACTAAATATGTAGATAAACAAATTGACAATCGGAAACTTTACTTTCGTTCAGGTGAGACTATTAGAGAAAGGGTTTCCAAATTGTCAATGTTAAGAGACTATTTGCTGTTATGATTAATTCAGAAATTAATGTGATGCATGTTTTAATTCAAATCCTAAATTGGAGTACAAGTATACTTTTTTCATTCGAGTATAAATTTGAAAAAGAAATTTTGGACTAATTTGTAATAAATTTTAGAGCTGTTTCTCCAGGGAAAACTGATTTTATTACCTTATAACTATTAACAGTTTAAGGTAGATGGGGTGTCTAAATTATAATCCATAGAATTTTTTAATAATTTGCCAAAATGTAGTTTATATCAAGCTTTTTAAAAAAAAATGATAGAAAGAATGGGCTTATTTTCACGCTACAGGTTGTTCAAAATTAACAGATTTTGTATAGATTATGCATGGAAAACCCAATTTTCTGCCATAAAACGAAAACTACACCATAGAATTTTGAGATAAAATATGAGAAGATAGCTTTAATAGTATGCTTTCAGATAAGAAAAAGAAAAAATGGGGTCACCGGACCCGTTTTCTTGCTACATAATAAAATAGGTAAATTCCTAACACATTCTATTGTAAAAGTACCTTTATCTGAATTATCTGCCCTTACATTTGAGTTGCCTCCCCTTATGTGGCAAAGTTGGAAAAAATTGAATCAAACAAAAGTTTTCTGTTTTTTGTAAAATACAACCATAAATATGATAAAACATGTCATTTTCTATATTGAAATGAAAATTCTTTCACATGAGTTACCTACTACTCTCAAAATTTGCACATTCTATTAAAGATCTAGATCGATTGTTTTCAGGTATTACAAAATCCAAGATGGAGGAAGACACCCTATCTACCTTAAGTACAATTGTAACGACAAAATACATACATCATCATCTAGGCATCTACAATTAATCATCTCCAAGTCTAGGACTGTTATTTCGTCTTCTTCTCTCTGGGCTCCCGTCTATCTGTAATACATATTCAAATCATTTTAATATCTATCAGACAACTATTAATAAATAAAAAAAAAAATATACTTACTTTTCGATGCATATGTTACCTGTCCTGATGTAAATATCCTGGGGCTGGTATCTGAAACAAAAACAAAATAAGTTCAAAAATATTGAACCAAATATAAAACTTAAAAAATTTGCTACTTTTAATTTTTTTTTCTTTCAAAATATCTATAAAGAAAAACTGGCATTAATGGCAGCCATAATCATTGGTCAATTGCTCTTTTTGACTGTAAATCATTAACTTTTTTTCATTTTAAATCTATATTTCAAACAGTAATGAAGACGGTTTAATGATATAATTATTATTTCCGAAATTAATGTGCGTGTCAAATTATCAGAAGTTGGTGGCTAACCAAAACAATCTGATGTATACATTTTTAACAGAAATGATTAAAATTCAACTGAATTTCAAACAATCTAAATCAAGTCATATTTTCCAAATTACTTTTTAAAAACTCAACTAAATATGTAGATAAACAAATTGACAATCGGAAACTTTACTTTCGTTCAGGTGAGACTATTAGAGAAAGGGTTTCCAAATTGTAGATGTTAAGAGACTATTTGCTGTTATAATTAATTCAGAAATTAATGTGATGAATGTTTTAAGTCAAATCCTAAATTGGAGTACAAGTATACTTTTTTCATTCGAGTATAAATTTGAAAAAGAAATTTTGGACTAATTTGTAATAAATTTTAGAGCTGTTTCTCCAGGGAAAACTGATTTTATTACCTTACAACTATTAACAGTTTAAGTACAATTGTAACGACAAAATACATACATCATCATCTAGGCATCTACAATTAATCATCTCCAAGTCTAGGACTGTTATTTCGTCTTCTTCTCTCTGGGCTCCCGTCTATCTGTAATACATATTCAAATCATTTTAATATCTATCAGACAACTATTAATAAATAAAAAAAAAAATATACTTACTTTCCGATGCATATGTTACCTGTCCTGATGTAAATATCCTGGGGCTGGTATCTGAAACAAAAACAAAATAAGTTCAAGAATATTGAACCAAATATAAAACTTCAAAAATTTGCTACTTTAATATTTTTTTCTTTCAAAATATCTATAAAGAAAAACTGGCATTAATGGCAGCCATCTTCATTGGTCAATTGCTCTTTTTGACTGTATATCATTAACTTATTTTCATTTTAAATCTATATTTCAAACAGTAATGAAGACGGTTTAATGATATAATCATTATTTCCGAAATTAATGTGCGTGTCAAATTATCAGAAGTTGGTGGCTAACCAAAACAATCTGATGTACCGGTATACATTTTGAACAGAAATGATTAAAATTCAACTGAATTTCAAACAATCTAAATCAAGTCATATTTTCCAAATTACTTTTTAAAAACTCAACTAAATATGTAGATAAACAAATTGACAATCGGAAACTTTACTTTCGTTCAGGTGAGACTATTAGAGAAAGGGTTTCCAAATTGTCAATGTTAAGAGACTATTTGCTGTTATAATTAATTCAGAAATTAATGTGATGCATGTTTTAATTCAAATCCTAAATTGGAGTACAAGTATACTTTTTTCATTCGAGTATAAATTTGAAAAAGAAATTTTGGACTAATTTGTAATAAATTTTCAAGCTGTTTCTCCAGGGAAAACTGATTTTATTACCTTACAACTATTAACAGTTTAAGTACAATTGTAACGACAAAATACATACATCATCATCTAGGCATCTACAATTAATTATCTCCAAGTCTAGGACTGTTATTTCGTCTTCTTCTCTCTGGGCTCCCGTCTATCTGTAATACATATTCAAATCATTTTAATATCTATCAGACAACTATTAATAAATTTAAAAAAAATATACATACTTTCCAATGCATGTGTTACCTGTTTGGACAGATCTGCTGGGGCTGGTATCTAAGTTGAGATTTCAACATTGTTAATGTTATTTTATGGTACATATATAGACCCCCTGAAAAAAAAAATTGAAAAGGGGGCAAAGGTGTAGGTAAAATACATGTAATATTTAACCCATTTATTTTATAACAGACCTCAATTCAATGTTTTCAGAAACAATGTCTGTTGATAAAAAAAAATCAAAGGAAAGTTTTTGAGAGAAAAAAAACAAAACCAATACATTCATCTTTAAAAAAGAGCAATCATCTGAAGTTGAAACGATTGAAAATTAAAATTTATTGATGAAGTTTTGCCCTTATTGAAAATTATACAATTTTAGAAAAGCTTATTTATACAACATTTTGTGCATTTTAAAATGAAGGAATTTTAGAAATACAAGATTAAATTGTACCTGAAGCAGAAGCAATCTCCATTTTTGAATAATTTATCCTTTTTTGTAATCACAAAACTATCTCATTGCTCTTTCATTCCATCTGTTGAAATGACCATTAAATGATTTACATCCTTTTTACTAAACATGTTAACACTTAAAGTGAGCTAATATCAAAGTTTGATTATTACAATGAGTAGCCAAATTTGTTATGTCACTCAAGGTCTGAATATGTTCTAAATTGGTCAGACAATACTTGGTCATGTTTTATGAATATGTAGAAATCTGTTCATTGAGGCATAACTGAGTGGAATTTACCTGATCAGCACAGCTTTCAATTAACATGAACAATAGATTGTATATTCAGTCAGTTTAGCAGTAAACTAGACATGTGCATATTACATTAAGTACAACAATTGGTGCATCAAATGTTGCAGGTTACTGCCATAATAAGTAGAAAATGCACATTTGCCATGTTTTGCTTATAATCTGTCTAATAATGATAATCCTGTATCTTGGCATTGTACAAGGTCATGTTTTTCTCTGACTGTTTATGACGTCTTTACACTAAATCCATTGGATGTTGGATATCAACTGATTGATAATTTAGTCCTAGATGCATGTTTTTTTTTATTAGTTGTTATTGGCTTTGAACTAGCTGTCAGTAACTGCAAGTACTCTCAGATCTTAACTTAATGTATTTTTGTTGTTGTGATGTACAAGTACAGTCTGTCCCCATCCACTGTGTTTTTGTTAGATATTTTTTTATTTATATCCATCTGATGGGTTAAGCCTTTTTCAACTGATTTTTATTGTTTGTTCTTATCATGTACCGTTACACCACTGTCCCAGGTTAGGAGAGGGTTGGCTCCTTCAAACTAGTTTAACCCCGCCACATTCTGTATGTGCCTGTCTTGAGTCCGGAGCGTACAAATCAGTGGTTATCGTTTGTTGCTGTGTTACATATTTGTTTTTTTCGTTCATTATTTTGTATATATAAATAAGGCCATTAGTTTTCTTGTTTGAATTGTTTTACATTTGTCAATTCTGGGTCTTTTATAGCTGACTATGTGATATGGGCTTTGCTCATTGTTGAAGGCCTAACAGTGACCTATAGTTGTTAATTTCTGTGTCATTTGGACTCTTGTGGAGAGTTGTTTCATTGGCAATCAAACCACATCTTCTTTTTTATATAAACAATCATATCCCTCTATAGAGGGTCATAGAGGGATAATTATCCTTCTTTAGAAGGGTTATTCCTCTTTACAGGTATAAACATTATATAGAGGGTCTGTTCCCAACCTTTCCACCAGAGACCAAATGACATAGAAGTTAACAACTATAGGTTGCTGTAAGGCCTTCAACAATGAGCAAAACCCATACTGCATAGTCATATATGAAAGGCCCCGAAATGACAAATGCAAAAAACATTTCAAATGAGAAAACAGCCTGATTTAGGTACAAAACCATGAAAGAAAAAACAAAATGATATACAGCAAAAACCAACTGCTATTGAATTATAGGCTCCTCACTTAGGACAGGCACATACAGAATGTGGCAGGGTTAAGCTAGTTTGAAGGTGCCAACCCTCCCCCTAGCCTGTGATAGTGGTGTACAGTACAACATATAGGATCAAGCTATAAAAATCAGTTGAAAAGGGCTCAATTCATCAGTTTACACTAAAAAAAAATCTGTTTATGATAAAAATTCAAATTTAACCCATATGATCATTTACAGAACTATTCTTATTTCTATTTATTTCTATGCCGTGTTATTTCCAATCGATTTACACAAAATAGCATTCATACCGGTCTACTAGTCCTATAATATGACTTCGTAGGTTCATATCGTTTGCATTCAACGTTTTTTATCGGATATTTTTTTACTGTCCATGCTGAACCACGAACATTGATACTAAACAAAAAGATCCGATAAAAAAACACTGAATGCAAACGATAAGAGCCTACGAAGTCTCATATTATAGGTCTAACCGGTCTACTCGATCGATCCGAAACGTTCAGTCAATCGAAGTTGGTAAATACTAGTCATATATAAATCAGACTAAATATCATAGTATAACAAATCTAAATAAGATTACTGAGTTATGAAATATGACCGTAAAATCTTCTTTTCTGATTGTAATTTTATAATGGATTAACTCTCCTTTTCGATAGTTACTAAAATATGAGACGTATTATATGTCTATATGTCTCTGCTAAAATAAACTTTGATTCTGTGTGTAAGTAACACAAATGAACCATTACTAGACCATTATTATGTTATTAATAAAGAAAGAATAAAACTGACCTTCCAAATGAATTCCATCATGGTATGAGTTGAAAAATTAGAACATTAGATAAAAACCGCCAAAACATAGTAACCAATTAAAACAGAGATTGTAATGGCAGTGTGGTCTAATTAATGAACCGATGAACCGTTAAATCTACGATCAGAGGTGTTTTGTCGCAAAATATTAAATGCTGCCGGATTCGCAGGGCCGTAACTATTGATGAGGCAGATTATGGCAAAAAAAAAAAAAAAACAAACAAGAAGACGAAAAGAAAAGAAAATGAAGAAAGCTAGGCATGCAGGGGTAGAACACATCCTTGCATTTTCATATGAAGAATTAAGTAATGCAGACTTCGAATAGTAATTAATGTTGTTGTGCAGCTTCTGTACTTTTATTTCAACTATGTTAGGTATTGAACTCTCTGTCTGATTAACATCGCCAGTAAACCGACATTTGGTTCTGCAATTATTTATTTCCTGCGAAAATGAAAATGGATTTTTTTCCACATTATCAAAGTAAATCAAAATTTAAATATTTTGAATTCAATTTCTTCAACTTGTCAGGTCAATTTTATTAAAGAAGCAGTCACAGCTCACGCAGGAGTATCAAAACAGTCTGTCCCCATCCACTGTGTTTTTGTTAGATATTTTTTTATTTATATCCATCTGATGGGTTAAGCCTTTTTCAACTGATTTTTATTGTTTGTTCTTATCATGTACCGTTACACCACTGTCTCAGGTTAGGAGAGGGTTGGCTCCTTCAAACTAGTTTAACCCCGCCACATTCTGTATGTGCCTGTCTTGAGTCCGGAGCGTACAAATCAGTGGTTATCGTTTGTTGCTGTGTTACATATTTGTTTTTTTCGTTCATTATTTTGTATATATAAATAAGGCCATTAGTTTTCTTGTTTGAATTGTTTTACATTTGTCAATTCTGGGTCTTTTATAGCTGACTATGTGATATGGGCTTTGCTCATTGTTGAAGGCCTAACAGTGACCTATAGTTGTTAATTTCTGTGTCATTTGGACTCTTGTGGAGAGTTGTTTCATTGGCAATCAAACCACATCTTCTTTTTTATATAAACAATCATATCCCTCTATAGAGGGTCATAGAGGGATAATTATCCTTCTTTAGAAGGGTTATTCCTCTTTACAGGTATAAACATTATATAGAGGGTCTGTTCCCAACCTTTCCACCAGAGACCAAATGACATAGAAGTTAACAACTATAGGTTGCTGTAAGGCCTTCAACAATGAGCAAAACCCATACTGCATAGTCATATATGAAAGGCCCCGAAATGACAAATGCAAAAAACATTTCAAATGAGAAAACAGCCTGATTTAGGTACAAAACCATGAAAGAAAAAACAAAATGATATACAGCAAAAACCAACTGCTATTGAATTATAGGCTCCTCACTTAGGACAGGCACATACAGAATGTGGCAGGGTTAAGCTAGTTTGAAGGTGCCAACCCTCCCCCTAGCCTGTGATAGTGGTGTACAGTACAACATATAGGATCAAGCTATAAAAATCAGTTGAAAAGGGCTCAATTCATCAGTTTACACTAAAAAAAAATCTGTTTATGATAAAAATTCAAATTTAACCCATATGATCATTTACAGAACTATTCTTATTTCTATTTATTTCTATGCCGTGTTATTTCCAATCGATTTACACAAAATAGCATTCATACCGGTCTACTAGTCCTATAATATGACTTCGTAGGTTCATATCGTTTGCATTCAACGTGTTTTATCGGATATTTTTTTACTGTCCATGCTGAACCACGAACATTGATAGTAAACAAAAATATCCGATAAAAAAACGCTGAATGCAAACGATAAGAGCCTACGAAGTCTCATATTATAGGTCTAACCGGTCTACTCGATCGATCCGAAACGTTCAGTCAATCGAAGTTGGTAAATACTAGTCATATATAAATCAGACTAAATATCATAGTATAACAAATCTAAATAAGATTACTGAGTTATGAAATATGACCGTAGAATCTTCTTTTCTGATTGTAATTTTATAATGGATTAACTCTCCTTTTCGATAGTTACTAAAATATGAGACGTATTATATGTCTATATGTCTCTGCTAAAATAAACTTTGATTCTGTGTGTAAGTAACACAAATGAACCATTACTAGACCATTATTATGTTATTAATAGAAAGAATAAAACTGACCTTCCAAATGAATTCCATCATGGTATGAGTTGAAAAATTAGAACATTAGATAAAAACCGCCAAAACATAGTAACC